GCTACAGAAAATAAGTTTACTGAAGATCATGCCAAGGAACGTCCCTGCTAATAGGGCCCGCTGACATCACTGCTATCAGCGCCTTAACTCTGAAGACATAAGACAGTAAACAGGAAGGAGTGATCATCCCCTACTCTGAGGGCCAGTTCACACGTGTCCATTTTCCTGTATTAGAATCTATGTGTTTCACAATATGAAAATGTATTTCAGCTAGGGTTGCCACCTTTTCTTCATGCGAAATTTGAACACTAGTGAGGCACGTGGCTTATTCATATGTAAATATCAGAGTGGAGACTATTTTCAGTGGGGGGCCAGTAGCCCTTATCTTAATGTTGGTTGCCCCTGTCTACCTGAAATCTTGTGTCTGGGTTTCTGCAGCCATGAAACCCAGACACAGTATTCAAAACCCGGACTGTCCAGGTGAATCCTGGACAGGTGGCAAGCCTAATTTCAGCTAGAAATCACATTATTAGTATTTGATTAGTTAGGGCCCATTCATATTTATGCATTACGATAACATGGTACAAAGCATGTTCCACCGTGCATAACTGCAATGCATGGTAACACGAGCACTGCACTGCCATATATTTCCAATGGCACTCCCATTAACCATCTCCCGTCCATGGCCATTTGTGAATGGCCGGACGGGAGTCTGCTAGGAGCAGTAGGGCGTCTTAAGACGTTAGCGATGGCTGTTTACATACAAGCGATCAGGGGTCTCTAGAGACGCCCGATCGATTGCAGGAGCTGCGGGTGTGCGCCCCCCCCGTATCTCTTACCTGCCGTCTCCTCGCCGCCGCTGCCAGTCCCGTGATCCGATGTGGCCGGTGCACCTGGGACCGGCACGGCGACGCTCTAACAGCAGATCAAAGGGAGATCATTACTCGATCTTCCTTTGATCTCTTTTCCTGTCCCCGAAAGCAGGAAGTAATGTATATTACATCACTTCCTGCATTCAGTGTCACTCTCCGGTGCGGAACACCAGAGAGAAGCTGATGAAGCAGATCTCTGCTTCATCAGCTTTTCTGGGGGTCCCTAGGTGACATCAGAGGTCTTGGAGACCAGTGATGTCTCCCTCCATAAAGAGGACCTGTTTGGTGAACTGGCTATAGGGGATTTCTTAGTCTAAAAAATGTTTTTTTTTTTTTAAATTAAAGCAGTAAAAAAAAATAAAGAAGCTAAAAAAATATTCACAAATAATAAAAAAATAACACAAAATGTTTTAAAGCCCCCCCACATACACACGCAAACATGTGTCGGGTGCGCCTATGTACGAAAACGACGATTGCGCCCATTATGCCGCACATGTTACATATCGCCGCGAACGTCGGAGTGAGAACAATAATTCTAGGGCCATCAATCACTGATAACACTAAACTGATGAGCGGTAAAAACTTTTAAAGCGTCGCCTATGGCCAATCTTGGTTGCGGTTGTTTTCTGCGATTTCGCACGCGTGCGCAATTTTAAAGCTTGACATGTTTAGTGTCTATTTACCTGACGTGACCCCGTCTTTTATATTGTACCACAAAATTGGGTAATAATAAATGTTTGATAACATTTTATAGGGAAACATGTTTTTTTCAAAATTTAGGGTACTTTTTTTGTTATATAGTAAAAAATAAAACCCCCCCGGTGGTAAATAAATACCACCAAAAGAAAACTCTATCTGTCCCTAAAAAATGGTATGAAATTCGTTTCAGTACAGCGTTGCATGACAGAATAAACGTCAGTCAAAGTACCGCAGCGCTGAATACCGAAAAATGGCCTGGCCAGGAAGGGGGTGAAACACCTGGCCTTCAAGTGGTTATCAGGTACAGTGCCAGGCAACACATCTGTACTGCAGGACACCACAAGACAAATATCAGCATGCCATACATTACACTGGGCCCTTAGATAAGATCATCTTGGGTTTGCAAAAACACAAGAAATTAGCACGTAGTAACACTTTTGCAGGTTAGCGACCATCAGAGTTCTGAATGACATTGCACTTTTGTATACAGTAAATGCAAATGTCATCCAAAACATCGGACATATTTGTTGTGACCTTAAAACTAATAGGAAGAGGATTTTTCTAAACATAATGTATTAAGTTTTGTTTAATATCCCTTTACATTTTTTTAAATCATGGGGGTGAGTTGTCTGTCCAGCCTCCCGATGCAGTTCTGCAGCAACAGTTCACTTCTTGTAGTGATCTATTGCTGGCTGCACTTTGCCAGCAATAGGTCATTATAGCAAAGATCTATTGCTATAGGAAGTGGCATGATGTTGCGACATCAACTCTGTCCTGGCCTCTGGACTAAGAAGTGCAGTGACACCACGTCCTATATATGTAATGACTCCCGGAACCCCGCCGTGGGCCGTCTGCGTTCCACCCTGGAACGCATCGGCCGCAAAACGACCTGCTCACGTCCACTATTGCGGTTGTACGCCCTACAAACGCCGGGAGCCTCCAACACCCACTGCCTACCCCAGAGAGCGCCTCAACTCCACTCTGCAGCCTCTACCTCAAAGGAGCCAGGATCAGGAGACTGACGTCCTAACCTTTAAACCGCAAGTAATCTGCTAACAAGTTTGGCATACTATTACTGCCTAGCTAGGCTGAGTCCGTACAAATAAAACTGTATACTTTTACCTGCCATTACCGCTACTTGCCTAAAACCTAATGCATGTCGCCTAATGTATACTGATCTATTACATAGAGACTGCCTAATTATTGCATAATCCTGCTAGGAATCCTTTTCATTTACTTTGCATATACCGTTACCACCACACCAAGTGACTATTGGGGGTTATGAAGTAATAACTCCACAGCAATCCTTGCTGTCTTCTTTTCTCTTGCGGCCAATGATGCATGAATCCCAAACTCTCCGTTCCTGATTGAGAGTGACGCCTGGGATTCTATTCTGACTACTGCACCACAACCACTAGGTGGTCTGTAACCGCAGCTGTGATCCACCATATTCAGAGATAACAAGGGTGCATGACCATATAAAAACGTTCTTTCCCATTGTATTTACAGTGGTCTGCTACTGACCGCACCTTTAGAGTTCATTCACTTCAGATGCAGTGCGTTCCAGTCCGATTCTGGCCAGAACGCATTGCATCCGTCTCACTTTTTTGCAGGGCAGGAGGGGGTGTGGCGGGCCATTGAAGTGAATGGTACCATAGCCATGCCCTCCGGCCGAATGCGATCGTCCACAGGGGATCGCAAGGCACATTGTGCCTGCGGTCCGGTGCGATCAAAATAGTGCTTGCAGCATTTTGATCGCACCGGACCGCAGGCACAAAGTGCCTTGCCATCCCGTGAGGCTCATCACATTGCAGCTGTAGGGCGTGGCTGCGGTGCCATTCACTTCACTGGCCCGCCACGCCCCCTCCTACCCCGCAAAAAAGTGAGCCGGCCGCAATGCGATGCAGTGCGTTCTGGCCAGAATCGGGTACCGGTACGCATTGCATCTGGTGTGAACCCATAGCAGGAACAGAAGCCCAGGAGCTGATCGACTCAGCTGTTGGAATTAGTGCTGAACCACAAATCTGTTATTAACTGTAGGTGGCTCTTGTGCTAAATCCTGCTGGATATGCTAACACTCAGGGTGCAGTGTGCCCCTAAGCTAATTAGAGGTCTGGAGCACGGCGAGCCACTTATTTAGCACCAGGGAAGTAGCAAATGGATAAAACCTCACAAGTATTTTGTTGCCCTCTTTAAAACAAAGTGTGGTTCCTCCCAAAAGCTATAGCAGACCCTTATCCTAGATAGGGGTCTAGTATGGATTTTAAGGGGGAACACCACGAGCTGGAGTTTCCCACTTTACATCAGAGTCCCCCCGTTTCACATCAGGAGTCCCCCTTCACATCAGAGTCTTCAGTCCTTTATAATCTTCACCACAATGCGGGAGCTGGTCTGGACGGAGGCGGACTTCTGCCCTCTTCTGAATGTGGTCGCAGTGCCTTGGATGCGGACCCCCAGGAGCAGTGTGATGCTTTTCCATGGTGCTGGTGACCAAATCACCTACACAATGGAAATTATGATATTGTGAAAAATTTTAAGGCACCCCTGACAAAGCCAGAAGGCACCCTGGTTGAGAAAGGTTGGTTTACAAAAGAACCTCGGCTACCCCCGCACTGAATGGGTTAAGTGATTATTTTGTCTGAGGGGTAAAGAAGATTTATTCACACGGTCCTCATTCCTGCTGGAATGCTAGACCCGTCCCTGCAGTCTAACCCCCCCCATGGAGCTCTGGCGGTCTAAGTCTAAGGATCACTGACGTAATCAATTCCAATGCAGGTCCATTGACCTGCAATAGACGTAGCCCCACTAGCAGTGACGTCGTCCCAGCATTCCTTCCATAGACATGCCTTTCAGGGGCGCTGGAATGCTAGACCGATCCCTGCAGTCTAACCCCCCCATGGAGCTCTGGCGGTCTAAGGATCACTGACGTCAACACCCTGGTCTTCAAGTGGTTAAGCGATCCTTCCATTTGTATTGCAGTCAGCTTCAGTGACCCTGTTGCTTTGTTCTGCGTGGAGAAATGACAGGCTCACTTTATAAAGATGAAAAGACAACGAGTGTTAATAAAACTGCACACATGACACAGCGAAACGTTTATGAGACAACCTACTATAGCATTTACAGCTTTCAACACACTACAGAGCCCAGCGTATCCAGAACACACAAGCCGCATACTCGCCAGCATTCCACGCATGCGCACTATTAGCAGTGACGTCGTCCCAGCATTCCTTCCATAGACCTGCCTTTCAGGGGCGTGCTCAACGTAACTAGCCACGCTACGTCATCGACTAGAAATGATTGGCACTCCATAGTCTTAATAGCAAAAAAGAGCGGCGCATCGGCGTTATGTGCTGAACCCCTGGCCGCGGTGATGTTCGTAGAAGCCGACAAGAAACGAGCAGTCTTCCCAGGTGACACATAGGAAGACGAGCGTGGCTAAATGTAAGGCGTGGTCATGAGTTCAGACGCTTGGTTGGGCGTGCCAGGCGGCTGTTCTTGCCGGGGTGGGCGGGGCGAGACTGAATCCGCTGTCTGTGGTCAGGAGAGCTGGGCGGTGTGTGGCTGAGGAGGGAGCGCTGGAGGTACCGGGGAGAGTCCGTTGTACGGAGCCGGGGGAGCCTGCAGGTGAGAGCGAGACCCTCCGAACTCATACAGAGCTTGTGTCAGGGGGGGGAGACTTCCCATAATACTCTGCGTGAGGCCTGTGAGCCTGACAGGGCAAGATCCCACTCACCGCAAGAGCCAGGGGGGGAGAGGACCGGGCTGTGTGTGTGTGTGTTATTTACAATGTGTGATATAGTCTGTGTACTCCTGTGTAATATATACAATAGGGGGAATTTATCAAAACTGGAGCAAACAGAATCTGGAGCAGTTGCCCATGGCAACCAATCAGATTCTCTCAGCAGATTGCTCAGGTAAGATTCGAACATGAGGTAGAGATGCTGATTGGCTGCAGTGCAAATCTGATCCAGATTCTGTTTGCTCCAGTGTGGATAAATTCCCCTAATTGTGTATGTATGTGTGATTTATATATCTATATATGTAGCTATATATAGATATATCTCTCTATACAAAGAGATATATATCTATCTATATATATCTCATTATACACAATGAGGGGGATTTATCAAAATTGGAGCAGTTGCCAATGGCAACCAATCAGCTTCTCTCTTCGGTTTATTCAGTTATGATTTGAAAATGAAAGACAGAAGCTGGTTGCCATGGGCAGCTTCCCCAGATTTTGTCTGCTCCACTTTAGATACATTCTCCGTATATACACAACTGTGTAATGTATACAATCTGTGTGTGAGAGAGATGCACACAGTACTGTGTAAAAGTTTTAGGCAGATGTACTGTAATGATATAAAATAAGAATGATTTCAGAAATAAAAGTGATTATAGTTTATTTTTATCAATGAACAAAATGGAAAGTACATGAAGAGAAATCCAAATCTAATCAATATTTGATGTGACCCCCTTTGCCTTCTTCTAGATAGACTTGCACACAGTGTTTGAAGGAACTCGGCAGGTAGGTTGTTCTAGGTACATCTTGGAGGGCTAAGCACAGAAGTGGATGTCGGCTGCCTCGAATCCTTCTGTCTCCATGTCATCCCAGACAGACTCCATGATGTTGGGATCAGGGCTCTGTGCGGGCCAAACCATCACTTCCAGGACTCTGTCATGTCATACCATCAGGGAGGCGAGTGATTGGATCCAAATGTATTCTGCAGCAAGACAACAACCCCAAACATACAACCAATGTCATTAAGAACTATCTTCAGCATAAAGAACAACACAGAGTTCTGGAAGTGATGGTTCAGCCCCCACAGAGCCCTGATCTCAACATCATGGAGTCTGTCTGGGATGACATGAAGAGACGGAAGGATTCGAGGCAGCCGACATCCACAGAAGATCTGTGCTTAGTTCTCCAAGATGTACCTAGAACAACCTACCTGCCGAGTTCCTTCAAACACCGTGTGCAAGTGTATCTAGAAGAAGGCGAAGGGGACACACACCAAATACTCATCTGATTTGGATTCCTCTTCTGTTCATTTACTTTCCTTTTTGTTGATTGCTAAAAATAAAATATTAACCCTTTTATTTCTGAAATCATTCCTTTTTTGCAACATTTTTTCACCTAAAACGTTTAGGCCTTGTTCACACCAAATGCAGACCAGATCCGGTCAGGTTTCTGCACACGCAGTGCAGTTGGTTGTGCCCCGTTTTGGATGCGTTTTTGATGCGTTTAGGGCCGGTTTTGGTAAAAAAATAATATATATATATATTTTTTAAGTTTAACATGGGCTTTCAGGCACTTGCATGCGTTTTAGATGCGTTTTAGATGCGTTTTAGATGCGTTCCAGACCAGATCCAGAGCGGGTAAAATAGGGCTTGCCGCATTTTTTTCATCCGGTCTGGATCCGCACGCTGCGATGTGAACTGGAGGTCAAAATACCATAGGAATACATTGGACGCAGTTTTGATCCGGTCTGCACCTGCTCTGGTCCGGATCTGCTCCGCGCTTGGTGTGAACAAGGCCTAACAGTACCGTACGTCTGTTCAGCAGCATGGTGTCTCTGGAAATTATTTGGAACTGATGAGAGTTGTGTGCAGGCTTATAAAAAAAATATCTCATCTATCTATCGTAAAAATACCTGGGGCATTTTTTTGGGATCGGATCTTGAAAACGGAAATGTTTAAAGTCATTGAGGATGTTGCAAAGGAAAGTCCTTTTGTAGGCTGGAACTGTCCCTTGAACTCGGGGAAGACCAGAGCCGTGTTGGGAGGCAGAGCTGTAAAAAGGACTTTGCCTTGAAGTGTGGACTTCCGTGTGCACACAGCAACTGTTAGTTTTATATCCCTGTCCTGTGTACACTGTCACAATTCTGTATTTCTCAGGGTCCTCACCTTGCTAGGTATGTAAACAGAAGTTTATTGTTTGAGGTGAGCTAAATATTAAAGCCAAACCCCGGGAAAAATGGGAATTGGCACAACGCATTTCTTCACTGGAGTTGGGCTTTAAATATATGTAAGATATAGAGCTGCAGCTAACGATTATTTTCAAAATCGATTAGTTAGCCGATTATTAGGTTCGATTAATCGGTTAATCGGATAAACAATAAAATAAAGTTTAAAAAATGGCTCCAGTGATGGGACTTCTAGTTTTTATTGAGGTTGTAGTCCATCACAGGAGCAAGCTTGAGCGGTGGAAGTAAAAAAGAAAAAAAGATAGTGTGGTGTGCAATATAGTGAAATGGAAAGTGTAAAATTATACAGCAATGCATGCAGAATGGCACCAGCTATAGAGGACTACAAAAGCACATTATACAGCGCAATGCAGAATACCGCCAGCTATAGAGGAATACAACACATCCTAGCAATAGTACAATATAGCTGGCGGTATTCTGCATTGCGCTGCATAATGTACTATTGCTAGGTTTTGTAGTCCTGTATAGCTGGTGGTATTTAGCATTATACCACTTTATAACGTACTATTGCTGGGATTTGTTGTAGTCCTCTATAGCTGGTGGTATTCCGCATTGCGCTGAATAATGTACTATTGCTAGGTTTTGTAGTCATGTATAGCTGGTGGTATTTAGCATTGTAACACTTTATAATGTATTATTGCTGGGATTTGTTGTACTCCTCTATAGCTGGTGGTATTCCGCATTGCACTGTATAATGTATTATTGCTGTGACTTGTAGTCCTCTGTACAGCGCAATACAGAATATCACCAGCTATAGAGGAGTACAACAAATCCCAGCAATACATTATACATACAGTGTATAATGTATTTGTGGGATTTGTATTCCTATGTATAATATACAGCACAATGTACCATCAGCTATAGAGAAATACAAATCCCAGCAAAGGAGGTGCGGCGCACAGCGTGCGGAGCTGTGAACAGGGCCAACTGATCGGAAGCCGATTAATCGATTATTGAAAAAGTTGACAACTTTTTCAATAATCGATTATGTCGATTAGTTGTTGCAGCCCTAGTAAGATAGAGGATGTGCCTTTAGGCCCCATTCACATGTAGCGACTTACCTTTGCAGCGGCCGGGATAGCGCGACTTTCGGGGCGACGATCCAGCGACGGTAGCGCGACCTTCTCCGTCGGGCTCCATAGCAAAATCGCGCAAAATCCGCCGAAAAAAGGGTCCTGTAGAAGCGACGAGCGATTGCGACATGGAGCTAAGACAGCTCCATTGACTATCATTAGCCGGCGACTTCTCGCGATATCGCGCGGCAAAAATGCGCGATATCGAGGCGGAAATCGCGCGATAAGTCGCTACATGTGAACGGGGCCTTTAGGGTTCATGTCCCAGTCACGATATAGAAGATGATTGTCATTTCTTTGGGGGGTGCCTAGAGACGGCAGACTCCCACCTGCTCTTGGGGAAGGGTAAAGTAGAACTGAGGCCAAAACCTTTTTTTTTTCTTTTTTTTAAAGTTTAGGATAGACTAACAGTTATTACAGGTATTTATATAGCGCCGACAATTTACGCAGTGCTTTACATAGTGCACATTCACATCAGTCCTCCCCCCCCCCCCGCCTTTCCAT